GATAGATAGATAGATAGATAGATAGATAGATAGATAGATAGATAGATAGATAGATAGATAGATAGATAGATAGATAGATAGATAGATAGATAGATAGATAGATAGATAGATAATAGATAGATAATAGATAGATAGATAGATAGATAGATAGATAGATAGATAGATAGATAGATAGATAGATAGGTATATAGAACGATAGGTTAAGTTTTTTATAGAAAATTTTCCAAAATTTCAGCTCTTTTTAGAAAATTTTCTAAAATTTATCTTTTTGTAAAAAAATTTCGAAATTTTACAATTTTTGGAAATATTTCCGAAATTTCACTTTTTTATAGAAAATATTCCAAAACTTTCCATTTCAAAAAAAATTTAGCTTTTCTAAAAAAATATATTTTTTGTTATAAAAAATTTCTAAAGTTTCTATTTTTATAGAAATTTTTTTGCGAATTTATCTTTTTTACAAAGAAACTTCACAAACGAATTAATTACCTGTGGTTCCATGTGTTCCTTTTGGCTAAATATAGTATGTGCCACGCCGCATATCAAATAAGCAATACCAAAACGTTGTAAAACTCCCATTATTCTTAAATTTTCCAGATTTGGACCATTTATAGAATTTAAACATAAACCTATAGTAAACAGTTTAATAGATCTCTGAAATAGAATGAAATTGTAGATAAAATCTTATTCAAATAAAAAAACAACATTACCCAGATAATTCTTAAACATATACGCAATTTAGTTGTGCCTCTTGCCAATTGAGACTTAACCGAAATGGGTATACAAACACCCATTATCCATAGAAAAGAGGGAAAAACAATATCAGCCAAATGTAAACCATTCCAGGGAGCATGTTCAATCCACCAATAATCACCACCGCCACTATTAACAAATATCATTAGGACAATGGCCATGCTGAAATGAATTGTATACAAATGAAATTCCTTAATCCAAAATATTTTGTAAAATTTAAAAATTTACCCTCTAAAAGCATCCAAACTACGCATACGTTTACGCTGCTGTATAGTGGGTGGTGGTACAGGAGCTTCATTAGCGGCAGCATTAGCTAAAACTTCCTCATAACGGTAAGAACGCCAGGCACATAAAGATATTTTCAAAACGCTTAAAATTAAGGCAACCAAAATAAAAACCGATAAAAGGGCTAAAAATAAACAGAAAATAATTATAAAAAAACTGACTTTAAACCAAAAATAAACGTTCAACCTACATAAATTAACCTCAACTCCTTCATTATCCACCTCCCATCCACAGGTACCATTTTCATATAAAGTCAAATTATAAACACCGAATTCTTTCAAGTCCGTTGGCCTCAAATCACATAATGAGGTACTAAAATTTAAAAAAATAACAACAACAATCAATAAATAAAATTATTATGTGTTTCTTCTCTCATTATACACTTACTCATTATTGAAGGCATAACGTCCCACATCATTGGTCAGTAATTTAAATTTTAAACCATGAGCCACATTTATATTATTCGAGGCACTTGTAATGTTGTCATTATTGTGTTCATGTAAAGCTTTCACTTTGCTATAGGGGCACTAAAACACAAACAAAAGTGATTTTTTTTAATTGTAAAACTTAAATGGTGTAATTCAACCATACATACCGTATAACATTCATCGGAGAGACTATACAAATAAGTTACTTTATGATAAAAGGTCTTTGACACTAAGTAAGCTTCATCCACTTTTAAATTACGCATATTAAGTCCACGCCATATTGGCTCAATATATTCGGTTAAGGCAGCCATTTTTTGCTAGTTAAAAATCTAGAATACATAGAATTATTCATATATTTTAGGAAGATCAACTTGTGCAGGATCATATTTCAGTATCATATCACTATAGAACAGAGAGTTTATTGTTATTATTGTCACTAACGTGGACATCAAAGATTGGGAATAGAAACAAACGTTCAACGATATTTTAATTTTAAACAAAATAAGATAGTTTTATTAATTCATTTTCCGTATGAATACGCTCTTAAAAATAATATTAAAAAAGAATAATAAAATAAAATGTAGGATGCTTCTCGACTGTTCGTATCGCGTGCGTCTTTTTCTACTACATAAACATTTCTTTTCAATAATTATACAAGTTCAAAAAGGAAAAGTTAACAACTATGCAGAGTTGTATTTTCACAGGGTGACAGCTCGGCCTCTTCTGACTCTGAATCGTCCTCGATTTCGCAAGATGACTCGTCAAGAGTGGGGCAACTGCTGCACCAGGGTTTGATCTTCTCAGCTGTGTAGACTGAAGAAAACTTTCGGTTCGTAATCTGAATTCCGGGAATGTCTTCAACAAGATACCTGTCATTTCCCAGCGCTTTGGTAATAATGTAAGGGCCTCGAAATTTTGGCTCGAGTTTTCTCGAATCGCCCGTAGCAGGAGCTTCATTTTCAATTACAACCAAGTCGTTTTCATCATATTTCCTGGGCGTTGTGTGTCTGGAGTTAAAACGCTTTTGCCATTTCTCTCGTTCCTTTTGAACATTCTCCACTGCAAGGCTACGCTTGTCGGCCATTGGGAGTTCGTTCTCAACAATATCATCATGGATGGCTGCTACTAAATGGTTAGTTGTCACATCACGTAGTTTAAAATCGAATATAAGTTCGTTGGGCGTAAAGCCAGTTGTCGAGTTCCTTTGAGAATTTACGGACCATTGAAGGTCACGTAATGTCAAATCCCAGTCCTTTGGGTCTGCAACTGTAGTTCGAATATACGAAAGAATGGTCTGATTTGCACGTTCGACCTGACCGTTCGCTCTTGGAGTGCGGACCGCAGTTTTAATATGCCTTATTGTATTGTGGTTGCAATAGTCCTCAAACGCTTTCGAAGTATAAGCTGTTCCCCGATCGCTAACAATACATTCAGGAAGACCAAAGTAGTTTGTCATTTCATTAAGTGCGTTGATGACCGGAGCTGCTTTTGTATTACGTACTGGTTTCACAATCAAGTATTTGCTAAATGAATCGGAAATAGCCAAAATGTAGCACTGTCCCCTCTTGCTTCGCGTAAAAGGGCCGAGGTGATCAATATGGACCTTCTGAAATGGTATTGGCTGGACGTCACTATAATGTAATTGTGCCTCGGATTTACCACTACGGTTCTTATAGTAGCAACAGGCGATACAGCTGGCGATGTAGTCCTTCGTATATTTACGGATTTTCGGAAACCAGAATTTTTGTTGAATCCGCTGAATCGTCTTATCTAAACCAAAATGACCCATGTCGTCGTGGGAGTATTTGACGATTCTCCATCGGATGTGCTTTGGAATAACTAATTTTAGACCCTCTTTGTCCTTGTGATAAAGTCGGTGATTACGTAAGGAGTACTCTGATCTTATTTGCTTCTCTTGGTCTGACTTTAATTCACCTTTCAGCACAGCCATAATATTAATAAGTTTTTCGTCCTTCAGTTGCATAGTAACCACCCAATCGTCCACGTCGGCGGTGACCTTCATAATAAACCCAGCTGGTTCGATTTCGGTTGGCAGGTTATCTGGGACACGGCTTAAGGCGTCTACGTGTGCCATACGGCTACCTTCACGATGTACCAAAGTGAAATCATATTCAAGGAGCCGCATCCACCATCTGGCAATCTTTGGTTTTAGCTCCTTGTTGGTCTTTACATTGGTAATTGCGGAACAATCAGTTACCAGGCGGAAATGTTTCCCCAACAGATAAATCCTAAAACGATCGAGCGACTCCACCACGGCGAGAACTTCAAGCTCATAACTGTGGTACCGACTTTCGGTGTCAGTACAGTGGCGGCTATAATAGAAAACTGGTTTCCATTGATTACCATCAACAGATTGTAACAAAATACCAGCGAGACCTAAACTGCTGGCATCAGTGTGGACTTCATGCTGTGCATTGCCATCGTAAAGTGCAAGAACTGGTTCATTGGTGAGAACTTCGATAAGTTTTTCAAACGATTTTTGTTGATCCTCACCCCAAACAAAAACATCATTCTTTCGTAACATCATCGTTATCGGTCTCGAGATCATTGAATAATCCTGCACGAATTTCCTAAAAAACCCCGTTAAGCCTAGGAATCTTCTTACCTCGGTTATGTTCCTCGGTGGACTGAAATTTCTAATTGCACTTGTCTTTTCGTTACCCGGCCGTATACCATTGCCATCAATTATATGCCCCAGGTAGGAAATTGTTTTTGAAAGAAAAGAACATTTGTCGAGTCGTAAGGTAAGACCACTTTCGGTCAAGATCTCCAAAAATTTATCAAGACGTAATAAACCTTCCTCAATAGATTTACTTGGTAGCACAATATCATCCAAGTATGCCAGAATTTCACCGGGTTTCATTCTGGATACAAGCTTATTCATGACAGATTGAAAAACGGCTGGGGCATTCACAAGACCGAAAGGCATTCGGTTATATTCAAAATGTCCATCGTGAGTAACAAAAGCGGTGTACTTTTTGGACTCTCCGTCAACTTCTATCTGATGATATCCCATGCGAAGATCTAACGTCGTATAATATTGGTTGTTGGCAAGTTGAGCAAATTGTTCTTCCATAATCGGCATTGGGTAGGGTGTCTTCTCTGTAATAGCGTTTAGCCCACGGTAGTCAACGCACATACGGTGTTCACCATTGCTTTTGTTGACCAAAACTACAGGCGATGCGTAGGTCGAATCGGATGGACGGATGATTTCGTGTTCAAGCAGATCATTAGTGATGTTTGTTAATATTGAGCGCTTTGCGAATGGAACCCGATACGCTTTCGCCTGGATAGGTTTATCGGAGGTAAGATGAATCTCCATTTTAGCGACATTACACTTTCCAAGGTCAGAAGTATTTTCCGCAAAACAACCACGATGTCTCAGAAGTAATTCCTTCAATTGGTCTCGCTCGGAAGGCGCTAGCACTTCTGAGGCTTGGATACTATCGAGCTTCTCCAAACGACAATCATCGTCTTCGATAATTAATCGTTTACCTTTACCACATAGAACGTCCCTACCCAATAAAACATTTTCACTTAAAAATTCATCTTCGACGACCAGTAAATCAACACCAAACGAATTGTCATCAATCACCATGACAGCATGTACTTTACCTGTACATTTGTATTGTCCACCACCAAAACCTTCCAAAGAAACATTCGTATCATTAACCTTACCGACTGTATGAGCATATGATCTACGGATCAGCGACCGGTTACTACCAGGATCTACAAACGAATTTGATTCGTGTCCGTTGACATTGACCACTTTCACTATATCATTTCCAACTGGCGGTACTGATGTTGAGTCAATTTGATTCACGGATGTTCTCTGCGTTGATTTCTCGGGGCATTTATCGACAGTGTGTGTAGTACGTTTACAGTTGGTACATCTGGGTTTCTTAGATGGCTCAGGACAATTTACGGAAAAGTGTCCTAGTTGCGAACAGTTGTAACATTTTACCCTGCTCGATGAAGAAGTGGTATTGTTGTCTCTTTTAATACCTTTTGTACTGTTTACTCTGTTCTCATTTGACGCCGATGATTTGGCCTGCCTTTGTACTGTTGAGTTCATGACATCGTTGTAGTTGCAGTAACTAATAATGTCCTTAAGCAGCTGATTACACGAATCATACTCATTCGAGATCTTCTTCCTTAAATCTGGTTCGTTAATGCCATTTATGACGTGTCTAGCTATGGCAGATTCGGGTAAACCACCTCTAGTACCCAGAGCGTACATCTTGAAATAGTATTCATGCGGTGGTTCGTCAAAACGTCGTTTCGTGTGGCACATTTTTATATGAATATCAGCTGAATTATCGACATAGGGAAAATCTCTCAAAAATTTGTCCACAAACTGTTGCCAAGAACCAAAAACAATTTGCAACGAATCCACCCAATACTTTGCGGGGCCATGCATCTTCTGCTGCACCGCAAATATTAGATTATGGTCATTCCACCCGTATGCTGCCTTTAATACGTTAACGCGTCTAACGAACTGAGAAGAATTTACTGATTCCTCTATTGATGGGTTAAATTCCGGTAGAATTGCTATCATCTCCCTTACATCATTATATGGGCTGGATATAAAACAGTTGTTAGGCGGTAAATATTGTTGTTGTTGTTCACAGACGTTGAACGTTGATGTCGGGAACTGTCGTTGACTACCGTAGTGCATTTGTGCGCAGTTTGACGATGGGCCTGTAGCATGAGCTCCTGTTACATAGCACGAAGTTTGTTGTGGAATCTGTATGTTGTTCGCAGAAATAGTATATTGTTGATCAATACGTGGTATTGTGGACGAAACATAAACTGGCGGCTGGTATGTACTACCACCTTCCGTAACATATTGTGAAATCGGTAGCTGTCTGGCAGAGTTAGAAATGACGTTTTGTGTTACTGGAGGCAATATTTCAGGCTGATGACATGTGGAGCTTGGAGAAATAACGTGTTGTATTGGCGTTCGAATCATTGGCAATTTGTCCATATTACATCCATTTGCGGCTGGGGCTATTATATCGACACCGCTAAACGAGTTGCCTGACGTAACAATAGGGGGGCTATTTCCGTGTGAAATAGCAACATTTGTACTGCGCACTGGAGAACCTTCTATTGAAGCGAATGTCTGCATCGGCGATGACGCTTGCGACGGTTGGAACCGCATTGACGTTGCACGCATATCTGCTAATGTCTTTTCCAACTGTTTAACTCGTTCCGTCATAGTAGGTAAATTACGCATTTCACCAATATCCTCCAGTCGTTCAATTAATTGTTTCTTATTCCCCGAGCACGACACACCGATCTCTCTACACTTCGCTTGTAGATTCTTAACCGTCATACCATGTAAGTTTTCCATGATCGTGCGTTTCGTTTAGGTCGGTTGTCTAATTAGATTTTCAATTAGCGTTCGTATTTAGACTTGTTGGATTCACGATCCCACTTCTGAAATAATGTCACTAACGTGGACATCAAAGATTGGGAATAGAAACAAACGTTCAACGATATTTTAATTTTAAACAAAATAAGATAGTTTTATTAATTCATTTTCCGTATGAATACGCTCTTAAAAATAATATTAAAAAAGAATAATAAAATAAAATGTAGGATGCTTCTCGACTGTTCGTATCGCGTGCGTCTTTTTCTACTACATAAACATTTCTTTTCAATAATTATACAAGTTCAAAAAGGAAAAGTTAACAACTATGCAGAGTTGTATTTTCACAGGGTGACATTATGTTGCATCATATTCGCTTTAGTTCATAGTCTCCTTTAGACTATAATATAAACTATTCGTCCTAACAAATTCGGTGGCGGACAAGAACCCGGTTATCGCTAATACATGTCCCAAAACGTTTCCTAGTAAGAACTGGTTTTTGATTTCCTATTTTTAGTTTAATGTAGATCTCCCCGAAATGTCTCCAGGTTTTCCCTTTTCTTCTTCTACTCTATTAGAATCACATCCTTTAGAATAGAGAAAGCTCGTGTTTAAGAAAATTTAATATCTTAGTGAGAAGCCTATTCATTCAGTCATATTTCGGCCACATTATATTTGCATTTTACAAGCGGCCACAGCGGTCTATCTAATCTATTATTTTAAAGTCTGTAATGTATTAAAGTGTACACTAAAAAGTGATATTCCAATTAGCACATTGGTTTCTATAGTTCTTTGTGAAGTTCCTGCTTACTACCCAGGGAATTTTCTAAAGAAATTGTTTGGTCAAAAACTACGTATCCCACAAGTACATGATGTGCAGCAGCAAGCACATATCAAGTTTGTAACGTCTCAAACCCACTCTGTGAAGTTTCCAAAACTTTTGACAAGTGGCAGGTAAATGAAAATCTCCTAATGTAGGGGAGTAAAATCCCCGTTGAATGAATTATATTTGCAACTTTCCACACAAAGGAAATTAACACTATGTTGTTTTTAATAATTTTTGTGTATCACATCATCACTATTTATTATTATTTCAGTTCAATGGCTAAAAAACACTTTAAATTCAAAGTTAATTTGTTTTTTATTATTATTATACTCATCCTTCAATATCAACCACTTGTTATAATTTTTTTAATTGCTAATTAAACTTTACCAGTATAAAATGATTATTTTAAGACTTATTAACACTTATTTAAACATTTTGTTTTTATTTAAATCTTTAAAGTTACAAATTAAATGCAATTTTATTAAAAGTTTAGTTAAAAACAACTCAGCCAGTTGTTGTTGTTGTTGTTTTGAAGTTTTCAACGTCAATGTTTTCACTTTTTTCGTTTGTTGAATATTTTGTTGTTTTCACGGTTTTTGTTTTGATTTATTTTAAGCGCAAGCAGTGTTGTAAATAAATGAACACTTTAACAGCAATAACAAATATTGTTATAGAATAATCAATAAAAACACAATATAAATTTTACAATAGTTTTAGTTTTCTTATTTTATTAATGTATTTTTTATCATTTCATTTTTTAGGTCTAAAATTGGAAGAAGTCATTCAACATATCCATGAGCTAACAATATATCGGATTAAACGCCAAACAACCTTTAGGCAGTAGGAAGTAAAGTAATAAATTATTTGGATTATATCAAATAAAAATATAATTAATAATAATAATAACAACAATAATTTCGAGTTTAATTTTACGAATTAAAACAAATTCCAATAGTTTTTCTTTGCTTTTAATGAAAATAATACATTTCATGGTATTCCTTATAAAAATCGCTAGAATAGTGTTCTTTGTATAAGAAAAGACATCTGGTTACATTATTTCTTATCGAAGGCTAACAAAAATCAAGTGGCAACACTGGTTTTAATGTAAATGAAACACAGAGTTGTCATAAAAAACACTCTTAAGACAGAGATGTTTCGCTGATTAAAAAATGTTTGCCCAAAATGGATGAAATCTTTCCAGGATCTGAAATCTGAGGGCATTTTTGAATTCTCCATGAAAAATCACCTGAAAGGTAACTTTCCAGCCAAATTCGTCGAGTATTTAGGGAGTTTAAAGCAAATAAATATTTTATATTGTAAAATAAAAAAATACAACAACAATATGATGATTATTGTTGTCTAGTTAATGACCAACAACAAATTTATGAACATAATTGTTGTTGTTGTCCAAGTTGATGTCAACAACAACAACTTTAAGAAACATTGTTGTTGCTTTAACAACACATTTTATTTGTTGTTGTATTTTTAATTTTTTCCCATATAATATTTTTTTGCTTTTATTTCCTAAAATACTGGAGGAATTTGGCTGGAAAGTCACCTTTCTGGTGATTTTTCATGGAGAATTCAAAAATGCCCTCAGATTTCAGATCCTGGAAAGATTTCATCCATTTTGACAAACTACTTTTTTCTTAGCAAAGACAACAACCTTTTATTACGGCAACTATGTAGGGGGATAATTTATAGCAGGCTTTTAGGCGGTACAAAATAAATCTTTTTTGTTATTGATAATTTGTCATCTCTAACTACATAATTTCAATAATGCCTATTCAGAGGTTTTTTAATGTTGTCAAATTAAAATATTTATGTTTTATAATAGTTATTACATATTTTTCAAATTATTACATATATATATATATTTTTTTTTTCTGAATAAAATACCCAATCAATTGATTAATTTGATTCTAATTATGTTTGATGTATAATTTTGTTTATTTTATTTAATAATTTCGTTTGCAAACTTTATATTATATGAGATTGATTATATAATTATTGTTTATTTTGTTAACATTAAATCCAAAAGAAAATTCTTGTTTGTTTGTTTTTTTTTTAGTAAAATGTATATATTTAAATATAAAGACACAAATATGAAGTTTAAAATAGTGTTTAATGTTTAGCATGCGTTTTTTGTTATTTTTTTCCTTTTAATAGGTAAATTGTGTGTAGTTTTCTTTTATTAAAAATATTATTAAAACTTCCTTTAAATAGGCAGTCAGATATTTGTTTAATAGTTATTATGTCACTTATGTTTTGTCAATATAATAGTTTTTATATACAATGAAACATTTATTTGCATGTTAAGGGGATTAATATTTATAATAATTTGAGTATTTTGTGTTTTCATATGGATTGGGTAGTGGAATGATATATACTTTTTTGTTTATTGGAACAACCAAAATAAACTCGACATAAATACATATAAAATTACACAAACTTAGCGTATTATTAAACAAAAAAACACATATTGTAAGCGGATTATTTAAAAATAAAACATTTCTTTTAATTGTATTATTAATAAGTGTCTTTAACAGTTAAATAAATAAATAGTTTATAAAGAAATTATTTTTGAAACAATTTTCACTAAAAAAATGGGAAGAAAACTAAAACTGTTTGGAGATAATTTGAAGTTTTTAAAAGAATTTTCTATTTTAGTTTTAAAATGTAAAGTTCATTAACATATCAATTAGTTTTTAAAACAAAACTTTATGCAGATAAGTTTTCTATACAAAAACTTCAATGCAGATCAGTTTTCTTAAGAAAACTTCAATACTGATCAGTTGTCTATAGAAAACTTTATTGCAGATCAATTTTCTATATAAAACTTTATTCCAATTCAGTTTCCTATGGAAAATTTTATAGCAGATCTTCAGTTTTATATAAAACATTTTATTGCAAATTAGTTTTCTAATGAAAACTTTATAGCAAATCAGTTTTCTATAGAAAACTTTATTGTAGATCTGTTTTCTATAGAAAACTTTAGTGCATATCAGTTTTTTTTCATAGAAAACTTCATTACATATCAGTTTTCTATAGAAAACTCTATTGCAAATCTGGTTTCTACAGAAAATTCTATTCCTATAGAAAAAAGTTCATTGCAGATTAATTTTCTATAGAAAAAGTTACAAATTAATAGAAAATATTTTTTCTAAAATAAAAAATTCTTAAAATTCAAATTAGTTTCAAACAGTTTTCAGTTAGTTAATAATTTTGCTTTAATTTTTCTTTGTAAACAAAGTATAAATTCCTTTATCCATTAAATAGCTAATATTCTTTCTAAGCATTTCGTTTTGAAATCTTAACATTAACAAATAAAAAAAAAGCAATTTTAACCTTTAAGACCTTATTTTTTTTTTACCACAAACATCAATTTCATTATCATCTTCTCTACAGCATCTTTCAAAATATCATCTTATCTTCGTTCGTAAAAAGCTTTTATGCGCTTAACTAAAGCTACAACAAGAATTTGTCTTCTTGGCCGTCTTATAAAAGGCTTTACTTTGTATTGACAGATTTTCCGATTTTATAACCATATCATCTATTTTTTCTCCTCTCTCTAGCACCGCTTCGATGGTGTTCTTCAGTATAATCTTTGTTTCATCTAAATCATTTTGCATTTTTGTTAAAGCATCCGCTTCTTTGGGATCTTGATACTTAGCCAGAAATGTGGGTAATACCGGAAAGTCTATAGTACTCTCAGTCCCTGTTTCCCATAGATCTGCGGGTATTCTAGCAGCAAATTCATCTAAAATTTTAGTTATTAAAGTGTGACCCACTCTTTGGGGATATTCATGGTCAGCTATTAAAACACCAGCTAGATTATCGGTCCTAACATAGACATGACACATATAGGCTTCCTGTTTGACCGATTGACGCATTGCTGGTTGTGTCCGTTCGACTATGGTCTTTGAGGCAAATCTAATTAGAGTTTAGAGAATTTGTGTTTGTATATTCATATATATACAGAAAAAGAAATAGTTTTGTGGTTTGCTATTTTATTGCTGAACTTACGTCATGAATTCTTGTACGGTGCCTCTTTGGAAGAAGGAGAATGATTGCAAATCATACGCCGATTTCAATAGGCGAGCTTCTGCTGAACCCTTGTAAAAAACACTCAACGCAAATAATTTGACCATTTTGTTTTCTTTTTAGTTTTTTGTTGTTTTTATTTTTCTTTACTTTTAATCACTGGTGGGTTATTGTTTGTCACTTATTTTCTATTTTTATTATTAAAAAATTCTGTAATTTAATGAATTTTTAACTAAAAATATGTTTCTTTTTTCTTTCTTTCAGTTTTCCCTGCTAAAAAGTTTTTCTTTTCTTCTGTAGTCAGTGACACAGATATTTGCTAGTGATGTGACCTCTATTTGTTGAACTGTCAGTGCGTAGTTATCGATTTAGTGATGGGATTAAATATACGCTAATGTTATCAATTCTCAGTACATGCTAGACAGTGGTTTGAAGAAATCTATGTGACAAAATATAAAAATGACAAAAATAGAAAATTTTTGAAAATCGAAGAGAAAATTTAGTCTTGGTGGGAGGATTTTCATTCGGGGTACTTTAGAACACGGCTCCTCATAATATATTTCATTCCAGATTACTAATTTAACGAAAAACTTCATTGTAGACCAGTATTCTATAAAAACTTCTATTGCATGTCTGTCTCCTATTGATAAGTTCATTGTAGATCAGTCCCCAATAGAAAAATTTATTGAAAAACATCCTTGCACATCAGTTTTCCATACAAAAACATTGCTGCACTTTAGTTTTCTATAGAAAATGTATATTAGTTCTCTATGGAAAACAATATTAATAAACTGCTTTCAGTAGAGAATTTGACTGCACATCATTGATTGATTTTCTATAGAAAAACTTTACTGTGCATCAGTTTATATTAGAAAACAACAATAAATATCGGTTTTCAATAGAAAGCAGTAAAAAACTTGACTGCAGATCCGTTTTCATTAGAAAAACATTCACTACAGATCAGTTTTCTATAGAAAAACTTTATTTTCAGAACGGCTTTCCGTAGAAAACTTTTGAATTGAAAATTTCATTATCTTCATTTCATTAAAACTTAACTGCAGATCAGCCTTAATTAGAAAATTTTCACTTCAGATTAATTCTCCATATAAAAACTCTATGGAACATCAGTTTTCTAGTGAAAACTTTATTGTATATCAGTTCCCTATAGAAAACACTATTAAACATCTTTTTTTCTATAGAAAACTTGGTAGCACATCAGTCTTCATTAGTAAAACTTCACGGCAGTTAAATTTCCTATAGAAAAATTTTCTACACATCAATTTTGTATAGAAAAACTTGTAGTTTTTATGGAAAATTTTAGTTTTCTTTAGAAAAATTTTTATTGTCGATCAGTTTTCATTAGAAAAATTTAATTCCCGATAATTTTTTTTATTGATGGAGTCTATTTATGGTCATGATCTTTGATTGATTATGACTCGGGGGCCATTCCGTTGCGAAAATTAAGTATTTTCTTCAAGTGGCTTTAGCAACCACCTCCAATATAGGAATCCCCGAAAATAACAACGATAGGATTCTAAGTTCTACTAAATAAGAATAAAACAAACTTTCATTTTTTTTTTTTTGGTTTCTTTTTCTTCAGGTTTTATTTATGCAAAATAACTTTTTATCCAAAAAAAGTTACAATTGTTTTTTTCATCATTTCAATTATTTTGTAATTGTTTTTGTTATCTTTGTATCATCGTTTTTGTTTCATATATATTTGTTATTGTTAATACATATAAAATTGTTTCAAACATTTCTTAATATTTTTTGTTTGGAATTTTTCTGGGAACTTATGTTCTACACAAACATAAATTCTCGTTGTCCTTGTCATAGATTTTTTTAAATGGTTTTTCTATTCTTATAATAAAACCGTTGTTATAGGACAAACATTTTTTTTTGTAAATTTCAACATTTGCTAATTATTGGAGAAAATAGATTTTTATTGTTAAATAAACATAAAAATACTTAATCTTAAAAAAAAACTTTTATTTATTTTATCAACTAATGAAATTATTTTGTTTTCTTACTTTTTGTTTAAATTAATTTGTTAAATTTTTATACTTTTAATAATGTAATAATTATAATTTATAGTAATAAAAAAATTAAAAGTGTTTTGTTTTAAGATAAGAAAAATAAGAAAACTGTTAAATTATAATATTTAAATTGCATTTGAGATGTTTTTTTGTTAAAAAGTTTTAATCAAAATTAAAATCTACATTTTTGTTTAAACAAAAACATTTATGTTATAACTTAATTGTTTACTTTATCAAAAAAGTGTTTTAATTAATTATATTACCAAACTTATAACCTTTATCTTTTTGTCAATTTGTGTGAAAACTTTTTAAGTTTTAGGCTAAAATTTTTCATTTGTTCTTAAAATGCTATTTTTTCAAATTAATTTTCTGTTTTTTTTTAGAGTTTTCCAATAGAGAAAACTGTTTTTTCATAAGTAAAAAATAGGGCTTTTCTTTTTTTACCAATTTTGTTTTTGGTTTTTAAGGTTTCTTTATAAGATTTTCTTCTTTTTACTTAAATTTTTGTTTGATTTGTTATTATTTTTTAATTTGTTTAATTTTAAATAACATTTTATGCAAGTTTAGTCTAAAGTTTATCACACAAATTTGTTTGTTTCTTTTGGGTTTTTAGTTTTATTTTATTTTCAAATAAAACTTTTTGTAAATAAAAAAATATTTATTTTATGTCGTTTGTAATTAATAAGAGATTTTCTACAATTTTCAAATGCAATTTGTTTGTATTGGAATTTTTCTTTCATTTTATTCGTGTAACATTTGTTTGTTACAGTTTTAAATAAATATTATTTAAACATCTGAAAGTAGACATTTATAGCAGCGTTATAAGATCTTTAAATGTTGTACGACTGCAGATCACTCTTCATTAGAACAATTTTACTGTAGAAAATGTCTTTGCAGATCAGTTGTCTGTAGAACAACTGTACTGTACATTAGTTTTCTAGTGAAAACTTCTTTGTAGATCTGTTCTCTATTGACTGCAGATCAGTCTTGATTAGAAAAACTTTACTACAAATCAGTTTTCTATTGAAAACCTTATTGCATATAGAAAACCTGACTGCAGATACCTCTTCATTAGAAAAACTTCACTGCAGATCTGTTTTCTTTAGAAAACTTCTTTGCAGATCAGTTTTCCGTAGAAAAAAGTTTACTGCACATCAGTTTAGTGAAAACTTTTTTGTAGATCAGTTCCCTAAGAAAACACTATTAAAGATCTGTTTTTAATAGAAAACTTGACTGCTGATCAGACTTCATTAGGAAAACTTCAACTGCAGATCAGTTTTCTTTAGAAAAACTTAATTGCAAATTGTATTTCTAAAGAAAACTTTGATACTACGGAAAACGTTGGTCCTCAGGTCCTTTGTCTTAAGCCGATTACTGAAGAGGTCCCTTCGGTGTAAACGTGGTGGCTATAGTTGGAATATAACGTTAATTTAAAGACTGACACACAGTTATAAGTTCGGTGATGCTGGCGAAAAAGACAACAGATTAGAGGTGCAACTGTGGCGTTAAATATTGGTAATAAGTTGATGTCAAATGAATGAGACAGACAATGAGTCATTGGTATATGGATTTCTCTTGAATGTGTTGTATAAATGAAAAGTGAGCTGGATTGAATGGTAGGATGGTTGTACGGTATCTTATTCGGATGACATCATGTAAATTTTCTTCTTTGTCAGGGTTGACAATAACTTACGACAGTGTGTGCTCTGTAAGACGTTGTCTTCGGTTCATTTGATGGATTGGTATTTCTTTCAGCCAATTACTTCTCTAGGTACTGTTTTCAAATCAACAGAGACCATTATATCTACGTGGTTGTAAACGGAAGTGATTTCAAAAGTTACAAGTTTCCAAATTATCATGGAAACTTAACATGCTGGTTCTGGTGTATTCTGTGATGAAGCTGATAAAGTATCTTTCACCGTCTTCCCAACAATTGTAGCGTTTTTCAGGCTGAAATATTTGCCATTATGTCATCATATAGGGGGTATTTTATGACCTCAATATTCGTGGCAACATAAGAATTTTTAACGATAGCTCTAAGCGGCTCTACATTCACTAAACTCGACCACTTCCCTATTAGTAAGGCGTTGCACATAAGATCTGTATCAAGGCTGGTTCGCCTGTCTGACATTACCCTTGTTTGGGTGACTACGCATGGAAATAAATAGATAGAAGAGCTAGCCAAAAGATTTCGTCAAATCAATCATTGGTGGGATATCTGACGGTCAATACTTAATGACCCCCTGACCTTCATCTTGAAAGAAGCTTTTCAGTGTCGATTTAATATGACCTAAAAGTGTATTTAATCTTTCGTATTAGATCTTCACCGATGGCTCCAAATCGAAAGGTGGAGAAGCAGAAAATGTTCGGGTTTCACACTAGAAGACTGAACCCAGTAATGACACCCCGGGGCATGTTTCCCTGATGAAAGAATCTCATCTTGGTGTATTGCAATCCCGGGGTAAAGAAGTGCTACCAGTACCTCTAGTCTGACAGGACTATAAACTGGTGATATTACTTCACTCCTAGGTTAGTCCTTGGTATGATTTGTCACGCGGTTTAACCAGAGAACCACATCCCATCTGCGTGTTTGAAAACGGAAGTGATGCTTTTGCATCTCAGAAGTTAAGCAACGGGGCAGCAATGGTGAGAGATTAGATAGCTCAAATACTTGAGCAAAGTGCACGTATACTGAACCACCTGTGTGTAAGAAGTACAATGGGGCGGTGGTGTGTCGTTTCAAAGGCTCACCCAGTGGTTGAAAAATGTTGCCGTGAAATAGGCCAACAGGGCAGGTGTTCAGGTAAAGCACTCGACATTAACTTACCCAGTAATTACTTTTTGCAGAAGCTGTGTAGAAGAGGAGAGTATCACTCACTTGCTCTGTCAGTTCCGTACCCTAGCTCAGCATAGATTAAATCAGTTAAAATGCAATTTCCTGCATGACCTAAGGGTTCTATCTGAGCCAGGCATCCGTAAAATAAACTCCTCTATTCGTGCGGCAAACTGCTTGGGATAGGAATCTAGAGTAATTGGGTCGAACGCTAAACGAAATGGACCCAAGTGTGTCCCCAATGATAACAGCATATGGACAACATGTCCTTCTGAGATTTCTAATACCGACTGGATCTAATAATATACAATCCTACATCTGACGAGTGGAGTGGAGCTGTCAAAACGAAGACCCGTTGACTCTACTTAACTGTTCACCAACCATAACCTTAAACTTTCTATAAAAAGGTTTATTTTTGGGTTTTTTTTCGGGGCTGAATCAAACTCGTTCTACTTCGAAGTGAATATTCAATAGATGTTTAAGCAAATTTAATAACTTTCGTTTAACTTTTAAGCTGTTTTTATAAAAGATCTTACTGGCTGCCATAAAATCATACTATTTCAGATGCTATATGTAGTCTAATGTTGAAAGTAATGTAAAAATAAAAAAATAACTTAAAAATAAAAGAAAACAAAAAAAAAAAAAATCGTTTATATATATTTTAAAAAAATAACAAAAAATTCAGTTTTTATTAAATATTTTTCTTGAATTTAAAGTTTTAAATGTTTGTTTTAGTTTCTTTTTGCTGGATTTGGTAGATATTCTTACTTGTGTTGTTGTTGCAGTAATAATAATAATATGTAAAAGAAATTATAAAAAAAATTATTGCGTATACAATGAGTAATATAAAGAATACAGATTAATAGAGAGAGAGATTTAAATATACATTTCAATAAGTAAAGATTTTGCTTTTTAACATAAAATTTTCTTTTAAATACATTTGGTTTTAATTTTAATTTAGAAGAAAATTAACAAAAAAAAAAAAAAGTTTTTTTTTAATAATAAATAATTAAACAAAAACAAATGTTGTTGAGAGATATTTTAAGTTTTTTTTTTGGAATACTTAGTATTTTTTTAGAGAGATTTTTAAGAGTTAATGAAAAAAATGTCTTTTTTAAAATGTTTTGTTGCTTTTTTGAAGGTTTTTTTTTTTTAATTCAATTTATATTATAATCAATGAGAACAACAATTAATACAAAAAAATATATAAATTTTTTTATTTGTTTATCAGTTGCCATATATGTATATAATATCGTATGTATTTAGTTGTAGTTTTAAAGAGAGTTTTTGAAAAAAAATTAAACAAAAATTTTGTTTTTTTTTTTTAAATTAATATTTTTTTTTGGTTGTAAATTGTTTTTAATTAAATTTTAATTAGGAAAATTTTGTTTAGCACCTTGTTTTGGAAAAATTTCTTTTAAGAAACTAAATAAATTTTAAAAGTTTACCAATTTTTTGTTTAATTTTTTTTTCTAAATTAAGTTTTTAATAAAATTTCTTTTTTTTTTTGGAATTTATGTAATAATATCACATATTTAGTTTTTTTTGTAGTTGTTGCTGGTGTTTTTTTATAATTAAATTTGCTATGGTTTTACATACGATATAATATTTGTTTAAAATTTAAACAAAAGTTTTTTAAAACTTTTGTTTTATTTTTAATTTTTTTGTTTAATATTTTTAAAGTTGTTTTTTTAAAAAATAGCATACTTTTTGTGGGCTTTTTTTTCTACTAGTTTAAGGGGAATTATTTGTTTTAATAAATAATAATTATAAATAAATTATTATTTATTTGTTTTAATAAAAAAAAAAAACGTTAGTAAAAAAAAAATAAACTAAAAATTATAATAAAGATAATGTGCCTCATGTCATCCATAAAAATGTTTTGTTTTTTATGTATTTTTTTAGTTTAAATCATTTTTTGTTTGTTTGTTTGTTTTTTTTAAGTCTATATCACATCACATTGTTGTATTTAAATAGTTGCTTGGTTTGTTTTTGTTTCAATTTTTTGTATTTAAAAATTTATTTATTTTGGTTTGTTTTCTTGTATAATAAATGCAAAATATTGTTTTATACTTTTTTTGAAGTTTTGAAGACAAAAAAACAAAAACAACACTCACAGCATTCGTTATAGTAGAGTAAATATTAAAAAAATATATAAATATATAATTAAAAATACGAGATCCTTCATTATTTGTTTGTTGTGGTTAATTTTCTTGTTTAATTTTTTTGTATTTCTTTCTTCTTTGTTTTTTGTTCTAGTTCTAGGTTTTACAAAAACCAAATTATATTATTTTTATTCCAAAGAAAAAATTAAAAAAAATTTAATATTTTGAAAAAAAAAAAGAAAAATTTTAAAAATTAAATTTATTTCTTTCTTCTTTTTGGAGTTAGGTTTGTTGCTTTCTTTTTTGCTATAAATCTAAGATTTAAATATTAAATTCGAATCTTGTTTTTTTTAAGTTTTCTTTTGTATAAAAATACTTAAAAAAATTTGTAAAAAAAATTATATATTTTACTTTGTTGTTGTTTAAAACAACATTCTTTTTTTTAAGTTTTAAAGTAAATAATTTAACTTAAATATTTGTAAAATACAAAAAAATCAAGTAGTAGTCTTTTTTTTTAAGTTTATGTTTGGAAAAAACAAACATTTTTGTTTAGCCTAAAAAAACGTTTTGGAAAAAATGTTACGTTTTCTTCTAAAGGCTTTTTAAATGTTTGAGACTTGTTTTTTTTAACAGGTTCTTAAAAATTTTAATTATTTTAAAAACTTGTTTAACAGTTTTTGATTTTTTTAGTTTTTCAAATAATTTGTTTGAATTGTATAAAATTTTTTTCAAAAAAATTTTGTTGCGCGCCTAATTTTCTTTAAATTTTAGTTTATTTTCGTAAAAACACAACACACATATAAAAGGATTCTTCTTATTTTTGTTTGGTTTGTTTTGTTGTTGATTTAAATTAAAAAAAAAAATATTTTTATTAAAAATTTTCGGTTGAAATACACGTGTGTATAGTTTAAAAAAAAAAAAGTAAGAGATTTTTAAAAGTTTTGTAAAGGTTCGGAATTAGTGTAATGTAAGAAATTTTTTTTCATATTTTTAAAAGGAATGTCATAGAATTTTATTGAAATTTATGGCAAGACATAAATTTATGTCAAGACAAAAATTTATGTCAAGATATAAATCTATGTCGAAACATAAATGTATATCAAGACATAAATGTATATCAAAACATAAATGTATGTCAAGACATAAATGTATATCAAGACATATATGTATGTCAAGACAAAAAAAGACATAATTTTGTATCAAAACATAAATTTGTGGCAAGATATAAGTTTATGTCAAGACAAAACTTTATGTTAAAACATATACTTATGTTAAACCATAAATTTGTGACCAGATATAGTTTTATGTCAAGACATACATTTCTAAAGACATTTACATCAAGACATAAATGTCAAAGGAAATTAGTGTCAAAAGAAAAACGTCTAAAAGATTTAAGACTTTTATGTCAAGATAGAAATTTCCAAAGAAATCTGCCTCTAGACAGAGATTTCTGAAGAAAGTTTATGTCAAGACATATAAAATTCTGTCAAGACAGAATTTTTTCCAAAGATAGTTCATGTCAAGATATGAATTTCTAAAGGAATCTGTGTTACGACTGAAATTTCTAAAGAATGTTTATGTCGAGACATAAAATTTTTAAAGATATTTGTGTCAAGAAAGAAATTGCTAAAGAATATTTATGTTAAGACCTAAAAATTCTTAAGAAATTTGTGTCAAGACTCAAATTTTTAAAAGAAATTTATGTCAGGACTGAAAATTTCTAAAGAATTTTATGTCGAAACATAAATTTTTAAAGAAAAATGTGTCCAGACAGAAATTTCTAAAGAAAGTTTATGTCAAGACATAAAATTTTAAAGAAACATTTGTTTCAAAGAAGAAATTTCTAAAGAAAGTTTATTTTAAAGATCTAAAAAATTCTAAAGAAATTATTGTCAAGACATAAATTTAAAAGAAATTTGTGACAAGACATAAATTTCTATAAAAAACAGAAAATTGTACAGAAATTTAAAAAAAAGGTTATGCTGAGACAGAAAATGTGTCAAGACCATAGTTTCTAAAGGAAACGGTGTCAAGACAAAAATGTTTAAAGAAAATTTATGTCAAGGCATAAAATTTTTTGAAAACATTTATGTCACGAAATCAATGTCTATGGAAAGACATAAATTTTTAAATAAAGTTCATTTCAACACAATTTTTAAAAACATTTATATCAAGAAAGAAATTTCTCTCAAAACATAAATTTCTTTAGACATATGTATCTCAAGTTGTAGATTTCTTTAGACATTTAACAAACATTTCGTCTCAAGACATAAATATCTTTACAAGTTTATCTCAAGACATAAAATCCTGTAGAAATTCATCTCTAGACATAAATTTTTCTAGAAATTTGTCTCCAAACATAAATTTCTTTAAGACTTTATATGTAGACATACATTCTGTAAGACATTTATCTCTAGACATAAATGTTTCTTGAAATTTATCTCAAGACATAAAATTTTTTCAAGTTTTTAATTTCTTTAGAAATTTACATAAATTTCTTTAGACATTTATATCCAGACATAAATCTGTCTTGACATTTATCTCAAGATATAATTTTTTTTTGTTTTAAATTTCTTTAGAAATTTACCTCAAGACACAAAATTTCTTTAGACATTTATCTCAAGACATAAATTTCTCTTGACATTTATATCAAGACATAAATTTTTTTCAAGTTTAAAATTTCTCTAGAATTGTCAAAATCCTTAACCTTTTCCTACAAAACTTTTAAATCTCCTCTCTCTTCGTTGTTGTTATCAGAAACTTACAAAGAAAATATGCTTAGAGAAAAATTTTAAAAAGAAACTTAAGAGAAACTATTATGTATTCTCATTTCTTTTTATCTTAATATTTGTATGGATGAATGTGGCGCATTTTGTGTTGTTATTTTTATATGATTTCCATTTCTTCTAATTAATAATTTCCTTTAGCTTTCAAAATGTTTCATTATTAGTTTTTATGTTTATAACATTCATTCTTTTTTTATATATTTTTTTGTTCGTTTTGCATAATATTTTTTTTATAAATTGGTTTGATTTTATGAAAAAAACAAATTTAATTTCTTATCAAACACAAAAATTATATATTAGTAGTATATTTTAACACACACACACATATAATAATATTTAAATATAATGACAAAAGGCGGCTGCGGCGGCGGCTTTGGCAAGTGTTTAGTTTTAATTAATGCATTTTTTTCTAGGGAATTTCTTTCAATTTAATGCATCAATTAAATTTCATTAAATTTTGTTTAAAACAAAAAAGTATATAAAAAATTGTTTTTAGCTTTTTGTATTAAAAAAAAAACAACAACAAAAAGTTATTTATAATACTTAAATGCAAAAAAAAAAAATAAGTTTAAGTTTTTTGTTGCTCATTAATTAATTTTTAAATCAAATTAATTTATAAAATTGTATTGATTTGTATTTTTTTTTTTTTTGTTTTTGTTTGTTATTTTCTTCTTTGTTGTTACTCATTGTAAAATTAAAATTTAATTTATTTTAAATAAACAAAAATAATAATTGTAATAATAAAAAAACATTAAAGTAAAAATAAAAATTAAAGATTAAAGAGTTCATTTACGGTTTACAAAATTATAATTTTTTCATTTTGTTTTTTAAATGTTTTTTCTTCATTAATCATTTGTTGTTATTATTACTATTGTTATAATTATTATCATTAATTTATGTTGGTTTTTTGTTTACTTTTATTACACTCGAAGGTTTAAAAGAAATCGTTTTCGAGTTTTCATTAATATTTTTTTCGATTTTAACAAGCTCTGCTGTGTTAAAAATATAAAACTTTTTCTTGTTTTGTTTTAAACCTTTTAGTGTTTTATAAAACAAAATTAATAATAATTGAATGGTTTCGTTTATAAAAAAAATATTTTCCTTTTTTTTAATAATGTTTTCTTTTTGTAAAGTAGAGAGTTTATAAAAACAGAAAAAAAATTGGGGGAAATGTTGATTTGTTTTGTTTTTTTATCATTTTATGTTAATTTTTTAAAGGGAGTTTTTTTTTGTTCTTAGATGACCAGCATCTGTTTAAAGAGATGTCTTTTTTTAAATAAATGCTGTGGGTTAAAAAACTCCTTTTGTTAAATTTTCAAACCCTTTTTTGTTGGTTGTTTCTTATTTTTATAATAATTCATTCATATTTCATTTGTTTTAATGAAAAAAAGGTTTAAAATATTTTCGTTTTACATCAATTGTTTGTTTTTGGAGAAAAAGAAATCAGATTTTTTTCGTTTTTTTCCTTTAGTAGTGTTGTAGTGATTAATTGATATTTTTTAAAATTATGTTTTTTATCTTCATAGTTAAATTTAATTGATTAATTATTAATATTAATAATATTTGTTTTTGTTTGCAAAAAAAAAAAAATTATATATGTATATATTTTGAATATATGAGGGAATTAGAAAAAATGTACCTTTTTTTTCTTCTTTTACTGCTGTTGGGGTTGGGCAATTAACTCGGCGCCCTGGTTGGCTCCATTGGCGTTGGCGGCCACACCACCATTGGGTGCAGCGGCAAATTGATGGGGATGAGCGGTATAGTAAGCAGTAGGTGGTGGTCCGTATTGACCAGCAGCATAAGGATTACCAGCAGCTGCTGCTGCAGCAGCCAACATGCCACTGGCATCATACATATAAGCAGGAGCTCCGGCAGCTGGTGGTGATTGTGCGGGAGCCGCATATAAAGCACCAGCTGGTGGTGTGGAAACATTAGGGTATTCTGCGGGACCTCCCACTTGGCCACCAGCAGCAGCTACTGCAGCCGCTATATTGGCTGCCACACTGATTTGTTGCTGTTGAGCTGCTAGAGAAGTAGCATCTTGTTGATTATTTTGTTCCATCATTTGTTTATTATATTGCCCATTAGCATTTTGTCCGTTTTGTTGTTGATAGTCGCGCTTTTGATACTGTTGGAAACGTGGTGTACTGCCATTGGGTTGCATGTATTGGCCACGTGGGCGATACTGTTGGGGAGCCATGTAACCACCCGCCTGCTGTTGCATGTGTGGAGGCATATGAGGATGTGCTACATAGCCACCCATCATGGGACGTGGACCATTACCACCAGCAGCATTGAAGGGAGCACGAGGACGATAAGTTCTACCACCCTCTTGGCCAGTAGTACCATTGTTATATTGACCATTATTACGGTTATTCCAATTGCCCATACCGCCTGGTTTGCCACCACCATTTTGCTGTTGCTGCTGATAACCACCGCTGCCGCCGGCATTGTTATTATATTGTTGATACTGTGGTTTAGGTGTATAACTGCCACCACCTTGGCCTCCATTAGCTTGATAATTCAAAGGATTATTACGCTGCTGCTGCTGTTGATTACCTTGATTGGGTGTTTGCCAACGTTTGTTATTATTACGGTTATTACCGCCACCACCCATCGAGCGTGCCAAATCTATAAGCGCCTGTGAAGGCTGCTGACCGGCTTCTTCCAATACGGATATCAATTCTCTAGCCTGTTTGGCATTGTCGGGTGTAAAGAATGTATAAGCAGTGCCCAATTGTTGACAACGTCCAGTACGTCCAATACGATGAACATAATTTTCCGAGGAGTTGGGATAATCATAGTTGATGACATATTGCAAGTCTTCCACGTCGAGACCACGCGAAGCCACATCGGTAGCAATCAATATATTGGATTTACCATTGCGGAAATCTTTCAATACTGAATCACGTTCAGCTTGGGTTTTATCACCGTGTATTGAGGTGGCTGTGTAGCCTTCGTTGCGGATAATTTGCAATATTTCTTCAACCTAAAAGGAAAGGGAAAAAAGGAAAAGAAAACAAGTTTTGTTAAGTTTTTTATAATTTTGTGTTAAAGTTTGACATTTTGTTAAGAGAAATTTATGTTAAGACAGAAATTTTTATCAAGACATACATTTTTTATAGAAATAAATTTGCAAATTTCTATCGATAAAATAAACAAAATCATTCTACTTACTTTGATTTTAGTCTCCACGAATATAATAATCTTATTGTTATTGTTAGCGGCATTATTTTGATTTGGCAAAATATCCTTCAATAGTTTCACCACCAATTGTGGTTTCTCATTGTCCTGACATATTTCGACTATTTGACGAATATTATGATTGGCCGATAGATTCATGGAGCCAATATTAATTTGTATATAATCATTGAGGAAATCACCGGCTAAAGCTTGAACTTCTTTGGGCCAAGTAGCAGACCACATGACAACTTGACGATCGGGACGAATTTGTTCGATAATCTTGCGTATTTGAGGCTCAAAACCCATATCCAACATACGATCAGCCTCATCTAAGACCAAATAAGTACAACGTTGTAAATTAGTAGTACGATTTTCGAGGAAATCAATCAAACGTCCGGGAGTGGCAATGATGACCTCAACACCACGATCTAAATCACGAGCTTGTGGCACCTTAGATGAACCACCAAAGATGCAAGTATGACGTATTTCAGGTTTGCATAAATGACCATAATCACGTACGACTGATTGGATCTGTTGAGCCAATTCACGTGTTGGAGCCAAGACTAAAGCAATGGGCCCTTCTCCGCGTTGTAGTGGTGGTTGATTGGCAATATGTACCATGGCTGGCAACATATAAGCTAATGTTTTACCCGAACCAGTTTGAGCTATACCGACTAAATCACGTCCCGACAAAGCAATAGGCCAACCTTGAGCTTGTATAGCAGTGGGCTTGGTAAAACCTTGACGTTTCATCTCTTCAATGGTGTATTCGGGCAAAGTACATTCTTCAAATGAACCAATAGGATGAGGAATTTCATTGCCAGACACAGTAATTTGCAAATCAGCGCGTATATCCGCAACTTCTTGTTCGCTCTTGTTCAAAGTATTTGGATGGGGAATGTAGAAATTCTTCTTAAAAGGCTGCAAATCTTCCCATTGTGGTGTAGATAAAGTGCGACCGGGATTTTTAGCCTTTTCACGTTGTAACTCAGCACGTTCTTCCTTCGATAGGGAACCCAAGTTAATGGCCGGTTTATAAGAATTATTTGGTTGATAGCCACCATTGCCATTTTGTGGTTTCTGATAACGTGGTGTAAAATTGGGATTGTTGCCACGTGGCTTATAGCCACCAGCGGAATTATTATAGAAATTTTGTCCACCATTAGCCATCATGGGATTGAAGTTATTACGATAACCACCACCATAGGCAGTAGCTTGTGGATTACCACCATAACCACCACCCATATTATTGGGTGCACCATAGGATGCGCCACCATTACCGCCACTGTTGTTGCGTTGATATTGTGGACGTTCGGGACGTGGTCCATTATTCATATTACCATTGGCGTAATTGGCATTTGGGGCTGTAACACCCTGTGTTGTAGCAGTATAACCATTGGGATACATGTTTGGTTTGTCTTTGATAATATAAATATATTCTTTTACAAACAAATATTTTTCTTGTTTTTTTTTGGATTTAAATTATAGTTGTTTGTATTTTTCTTTTTATATTTCTGTGAGGGAAATTTAGGAAAATTTTAAGAAAAAATAATTGGTTAATATTTGTTGCAATTAAAGTTAAGCCCTCTTGTAGTAAGTGCCGTTGTTTTAATTTTTTAACGGAAATTAATTAAATACATTTTGTTTGATTTTTTTTCTGTTTTCTTTATAAGAGCAAACACCATGACACACATAATTAGAGGGCATTTTAAGATAATAACATGTTAAATTTAAGGTTTTGATTTTATTAATCCATAACTAAAAACACTGTAAAATCACTGAATGATTTTTATTTTACGAGAGATTTGTGGCGTTATTAATTTAATTGGGACAACGGTTGAAGTTTTCTGGCAACCTTGAATTCACAAAAACACTGATTTGAAACAGGGTTGACACTACTTTTTTTTATTACTAACATAAATTGTATGACATAAATCGCCAAATTGTAATGTGAGTTAGGCGTTCTTTTGGAAGAAAACGTTTAATATGTGAATTTAAGAATTTTACATGTTTAATGTCTCAATATAATAAAAATTTCCGAAAATATAGGGTGGCGGGGCACTGCAATGTGCATAGTAATGAAGTAGCTAGCAAACGATCTAGCTATGTTAGGTTCGAACTTTGACATAGATGATAGGGAAAAAAAGAGTGAAACCATCGATGTCACTATTATGGTTGATTTTGGAAAGAGTCCTTGACATCATCAACCAGCAATAGTACAATGGATTGCAAAATATCAAGGGCCTTATGACCAACACTTGATATGAGGGATAGCAAGATACTTATAGAAATTCTGACAGAGATCTTAATGTGGCTTTGCTCGGCCTTTGTCAGTAAGTGGGACAGAACATGCGAAGATACAGAGAAACTAGAAACGATTGAGCACATAATTTGTCAATGTCCAAGAATACAGATTCTCAGGTTGAAATGGATGGAAATAGGTTCCATGATGGTTTATCAGGGAAATTAGTTATTTCTTCCACTGGATTTTATAGGAAATCTCAGATTGTCTAAAAACTCTTTCTGTAGTGGATCGATTCGGTAATACTACCAGCTTGAACCACCTTAAAACTCGAACTGCCTTTATTTCTCTCTCCAATGTACTTGTTATTTTTGTTTTGTTGGACTTTATGGTTTAACCATAAATGGTGTTTAAACCTTCTTAACCTAAACCAAAATTTTCGGAAATTTGCAAGTGTAGCGTGTAAGGATGCGACTATGTGCAGCTATAATTTCTCACTTGACTTTAATCTACCTATAAAACACAAAACCACGCATATTTTTATCTAAACGTGACTAAATCATGTTTTTAATTAAACTTTAATAGTTATAAAATGATTAAACACAAAATTAAAAGTAAATTTTTTGCAGGAAAACTTAAAACACATTTCAATAATTATTAATTTTATCACTAAATATTACACAAAATTCTAATATTAGGTATCCATAATTGAAATTAGATTAAAAAAAAAACAAAAGTTGTGCGACGACATTGATGAATTTCACAAAACCTTTGTCTACGATTAAAATGCGCAAATGTGTTATTGATTTTATTAAAGACTTCGGCTACGGTCGGTCAGTCTTTTTTGAATAGTTGACAAACAATTTTATTGATATAAACTATAGCACACAGCTCTTAAATTTACACATTTATTTATTTTATAATCTAATCTAAAATCTGTTACAATTTTAATTAACAAAATACAACTACAACAATAAAACGGTATCTGTGAATAAAACAATTTTTTTCCAATCAGATAATTTTTCAATGCACATTTTAGTTAAGTATTGCCACTAGGTTTTTTAATTTGTCCCTACTTTTTTAACATGTGGTAATTTTTCCCTTCACTTTTTTCTCTATATGTACAAACAATTCGGTTACTTGCCTAACGTTATACGAAACATTGGCAACTCTTTTTTGTCTCTATATACACACAAGTTTTTTTTCCTTTTCTTTTTTAAGCAAAAAAAAAACTACATCATGTATTAAAAAAATGATGAAATATTTATGAACTTACCTAACTTTGCTGATTTTCTTTTTTTCAACAATAAGTAGCTTAAAAACTTTTTGTATTAGAATTGTATTACAAGTTTCCAGTTAAAAAAGTTTTATGTTTTTACAACTTATTTTTTCTATAGACCAAAGCCGCCGCCTCGCTTTCTATTTTTTCTTTTGTAAGTCTTCGGGTTACTTCTTTGTGTGTGAAAAAAATTGAAAAATCGATTTATTTTTTCACTTACGTAGGTAGAGTTGTTTGAATTGTATTTTATTTTTCCTTGCTTTTTTATATTACTTGAACGAAAAAAGTAATTTTTTGTTGCTTTTACGTTTTTTCGTTAATATAATTTATATATTAAGTTGCTACTAATATATATATATGTATAGATATATAACTACTAATATTAAATAAATTAATAATATTTAATACTAATTTATTTAAAAAATATTTGCAGCAAAGCGAGGAACGACGTTGGCTTTTCCAAACCAAACTAAAATAAAATGGCTGATTTGCACTAAAGTGCTGTAAAATCACTGAGTACTTGGGTAGTTGGTAGTTAATGCAGTAACTACTTTTTTTTAAACCGGTAGTCAGAAAAAGCGTCCAATTTTTTTCTAATAAAAAGTGCGTAAACTTAGATAAATATAATAAATTATTTTAAGAATGTTTGTAAAATATTAAGAATTTTTTAAAATTCGTAATATATCTGACAAATATCTTCAAACGCATTTGTTTAATAGCAAATAACCAATTCAAATGTATTTGGTAGGTAAAAAGTAGCTGTATATTGCAACCGTAATTTGTAGTGTTGTTAATTTAACTATTACTAGTATAAAGCGATTTTCTTATTAATTTAACGGGTTTACAAATGTATTATAGCATTTTTTATATAATAAAAGAAAAAATGTGAAAAACTTTTATGAAATATATAAAAATACGAATTGTACAGACTACTAAGAGTCCGTTTTGTAAGCTACTGCTTTAGAAACAAAATTTTCAAGAATAATAAAATGAAATTGCCATTACTGCTGATTTGATTATTGATGTCAAATAATAGACTTGGCAGCATTGTTTATTTTATAGCAGTCAACAGTATGGAAATATTATTTCTTAGCTTAATGTGTAGAGTTTTTTTAAGATGTTTCATTAAATTAGCCGTTAATTTTTAAATTCTTTCATAAGAAGTCGCCATATAACTTATGCTAATAGTATACTTTTCTTGAAAATGCTATAAGCCCCGAATAAAAAAATCTATTTTAAACATTTATTTATTTCTCTATCATATTGCCTTATTTTTTAACAACAAACTATAAATTTAACAAATATATGTATGCAACTCTTAAATATTCTCTACTGTTTGCTATCTGTTGTTGCACCGTCTTTAACTTTGAGATTTTTCTCAAACTTATCAAATTCCTTATCGATTATCTTGTCCACCTCATCGAAAACCTGTTCGACACCCTGTACCTCGGGTACATAAAATTGCAACATATTCTCAACACCATTCTTCAAGGTAACAATCGAACTGGGACAGGAGGAACAAGAACCTTGCATTTTTAATTTGACAATACCATCTTGATAGCCCATGAAAATAATATCGCCACCATCTTCCTGAACAGTGGGTCGTATACGACTGTCTAGCAATTCTTTGATCATCATAACAACATCATCATCGTCATCTTCGATTTGGGTGTCAGTATTGGGTTTTGCTTCATTTAAAATGGGTAAACCGCTAGCAAAGAAATCCATTATAACAGCAAAAACTTCCGGTTTAATTACAGCCCATTCGGACTCTTCTTGCTTGGAGATGGTTATAAAATCGGCAC